GCTCCGGGTGACGTATATCAAAAAAGCCTAGATTGGTTCATCAAGAATTAAATCTGTTTCACTTAATAATATCCTATTTTTGGAGGCTCTATCGGTTATTATAGCAGTATAGAGAGTAAAGCCACCAGGATCGGTTCATAGAAATAGTCAACGATGGTCAAATAAAGATTTTCAAGCACTTGATGGTTCTTTTAAATAGCGATAAGAAAGAAGAATATATTTATCACGTCGAAAGAGTGGCATTACGACTAACCGCGACTCGATAAACTTTAAAAGAAAGATGGAATTTCTAAAAGCAAAGAGTTACTCTTTATTGGTCTTAGATCTCTGATCTTAACGTTAACAACGGGCAGAATCCCGTAGACTGCATGCGAAAAGTAACTAATCCGTGAAGACCACGATAGCTAACCTTTAGTGTGAATATCGGTATGTATCAAATAAAAAGGTACAGTGTATGGGGTAAGATGAGGTAAGGTTTTCCTATTTTTTTTCGTTTCGACGCGTCAATCTTAGCTTAATGAGGAGAGATGAATACTTATTCTTAAATAAATTCGGAATTATTGGAGGGTAATGGTTAATCGTGTTAGTAAAAAAAAAGAAAGATCAACTGTGTCATTACTTCCGGCACGTTCGAAAGACTTTTTTGGACGTACATAAATTGATATTCCCGAACAAATAAAAAAGTATTATAAAGATGTTTAAATTACTATATATCCAATATATTTATGGATGACGTTTTAACTGTGTAATTGTACACAAGATGGGGAAACAAAAAATAAAATATAAATACTCTTTCAATTCTAATTCTAGTTCCAAGTTTTGGAGCTACCTGAGCATTTTTTGTGTTCCTCCAAAACTTTTTTTCTTCGTCCTTTGAAAGAAAAAAAAGCTGCTCTTAATTGGTCATAGTTTTCTTTTTTAAAAAAAAGAAAAAGAGAATAGAGTATACTGTACGGTAGTTCTGTAAACAAAAAGTCATAAGGTTATACTTACGTCCAGATATTTAAAGATTATATCTTAAAGGCTTTCCTTATACAAAAACGAACGACGAAACAAATGAATATTTTTATTATTTCTCACACAAAACTTTCGGCTTAAGCAAATAATATTTTGATACGATAAATTTGTTAACGAGCATAACTTTACCAGAAAATAGTAGAAATGACGTTAAAGGAAACATTACATTATTTGAGGATCTCTCAATTGGTGTTGGTCTCTTTGATTACTTTGTTGGGTAAATTTTCATACACTATCATTTTGATGTTAACGAACGATCGATCGTATACTAATTTCTTCTTAAAATAGAATTCATTTCAATTGTGGGATTCACAGCTAATTATCATGATGCGCCGTAAGTGTTCTCTCTCTCTTTAAGTAGATCTGAAATATTTTGATGGGATAAATGAAGATTAATTTAACCCTACTCGTGTTTTCTTTAGGACCCATGGAGCAACTAGTTATTATTGGACAGCTTTAATATTTTCAGATTTGTTTCTTGGTAAGACTCATTAAAAAAAATTGTCCTTATTTTTTTTTTGCGCCACTAAAAAAAAAAAAAATTTATTAGGGCACCTAATTATAAGGTTCAAACCTCGTTGGCGATATGGACCATATCGCGATGAAATGTTTCTTGATGGGTAAGACTTTGTTGTCGTTTGCAAGATTTTTTTGTGTATCGAAAAAAAAAAGATGTCTTATCTTCTTTGCTTTATTATTGAATTCACAAAACATAGCCTTTTCCTAGCAATTTGGTTATCTATCTGTAAGTTCGAATTTTGATATTCTTCCAGTATTGTCATCCTTTCATATACGATTTCACTTATTTTTCTTCTCTATATATAGGCCTCTTGAACATTTCACCGACATTTCATGGGGAATCTCTTTCTTGCAGCAACACAACTAACTCGGCACTCACCCGCTGTCGCCTATTTTTATCAAACTTATCTTTTGCCTGGATGTTGGTTCCTACATTTGTAGCTTCGTTGTACATTTCGATTTCACGATGGAACAAAAGCGTGGTCCCATCATCAATACCCATGAGCACAACAAATCCATCTCCCCCCAAGCCGCAGTCACCGCATGTTATGCAAAAAGGTGTATTGAAAGATGGCTTTTTAGTATTTAATGATAACAACAGAAGCAGCAAACGGATGAGTCTGTACAGTCAACGAAACAGCTCTACACCTCACGTGAGGACGCTCTCCTATCCAAATAACTTCATGAGCTCCACTCCGAACCTTTTGAGTGATCCATCCAATAATTCCACTACTAAAAGCTGAGCACGTGATTAGGACGCGAAATGGAAGAGAAAGAATTCCCTTAAAATGGAAAATTATTACTCGACTCGTACCAATACACGTTTTACTGTTGATTCAAGTAACATTCATAAATTAATCGCGAACAACTTTCAAATGATGAGCGCGATCACATACGCATATTAAATAGGAATAGATTGGTACATTTTCAAAATTTCTGCACACAATGTCCTTTATTTCTTAATCACACATCGCATCATCATGAAGCATTTTTATTCTTACCACTACTGTTAATATATTATTTTTCTTACCGAGTATCATTACTTGATCTTGATTGTAATATCTATTTTTTAATATACACTTGAATATTATTTCTGGATTTTTTTTTTTTTTTTGACCTTTGATATTCTATTCAAATAATTCACTTCCTAACAGTTTCTAGCGTATTTTACTTTATCGTATGTAAATAAATATGTAAATGCGATGTTGTGATATGCGATATTATATTTCCTTTTAATATCACTATGAAAATGAGATATATAAAGCTAAAGAAATGCGTAGTCCGCCTGATTTCTTCTCCCTGCCGCAATTTCTTCGTCGGCAATCTCCATGCCATATTCCATATGGTTCTAAAAAATCATTGGTCGTATGTTATCTCGTTCCGATATAGTCTTTGGGTGAGAAAATCCTAACCAAACTTGGGGTTCCTTGACTTAGAATGGTTATATGAGATGACAAAAACTTACGCCATTTTTTTTATTTATGCTATATCGAATATGCATGGGAAACATGGTTGACTTTTAAAGAAATGGTCCCATGCGTTTTCAAATTTGGGCGCCAAATTGCAATCACACGTGCGCGCGCAATCCTAAAATGGACCCGGTAATTTTTATCCGAAGTCAACTCGTGTGACTACAAACAATGAATCCATTTACATAATCGATTTTATAAGTAAATCATATTTTTAATAGTTAAATATTTTTTCAAAGATTTCTTTCTTTTGTTTTCTTGCCTCAAATAAAAATTTTTTTATTATTTATAAATATTAAATTATTTTATTTTTGAATATTATTAATACAGTATTATTAAATACAGTGGCCTATTATATTGTTGTGAATATTTATTTAACAAATTTAAAAATAAATTACGTATATATTAAAATTTTATCAAACTTTACTTTATTATACAAAGCTATATAAAAGACAAGTTAACTTATTTTTTAGATAAATTTTATTTTTTTAAATGGTTATTTTTTAAAATATTTTATATTACTTAAAAAATATTATATAGTGGCTGTAATCTATAAACCATACTAATGTTATATGATTTTAAAATTTTATAAATCAAAAATAAAATTAGAAAATAAAAACTATTTTAATTCAAAATATTATAAGAATTATTATTTATATAATAGATTTTATTAATAAATTAAAATGTTTTTTGTATAGTATATATACTGTCACATTTGTATTATTGAATAAAATTTTAGTACTATAATAATTATATAAGTAAAATTACAAATTATGAAATTACTATATAAGAAATGTTATTTTTTTAAAATATTATAGACTCTAAATATTTTTTTTCTTCTTTCTTTTCTATAGTCTTTTATAGAACCTAATTCATTGAAGTCTATTAAATAAAAATATTTTAAAAATATTTAAAGAATATAATATAATAAATAAAAAATCAAAAGTATATTTTGTTTTTTTGAGATTTATAATAGTATTTGATAAGGTTAATTCTTAACTTTTATACAATAATAATTTAGACAAGATTGATAAAAATTTGCAATCACAAGAAAGTTTTCTTATTTGTTTCTTAAGAATATTAAATAAAAGTAACATAAATAATTTTTTTATTTTTAGAGAATATAATTGTAAAACCAATATAATTATCAAATTTTACAAAAACTGCAACTGAAAAAGAAGTTAAGTCTTGATTTTTCTTAAATAAAATATTGTCAATTGTTTTTAAAAAGTCAGTAACTAATCCAGTTTCTATATATAAATTAATTCTAAACATAACATATACATCTCTAACTAATAATAATTGTAATTCAAGATCTTTTGTTATATTGAAATTAGTTTAAATACCTTCTTGCCACTTGTATAAATAGTATAAATTTTAGCAATGAAAATATTTAATTATTTAAATTTATCTATATTAAATTTATTAACATTAGCCCTTTAAGAAATAATATATATTGTATTTAAAAATTAGTTATGTTTTGTAAAAGAACTTTCAAAATATATAAAAAATAGTTTTCAATTATTTATTGTAAAATTATTATTGTGTAAATATATCAAAATATAAATCTTATATTGTTTTTAAACTTTTTAGATTAATATACTTCTTAAAATTAACTATATATCTTTTTATTATTATTTAATAATAAAATATGACTAAAATTATTAGTATATATTGATTTATCAAGTATTGAAAAAAGTTAATTAAAATTATTTACTAGAATAACTGATCTATTATATAGTTGATTTCAATATTTAGAAAAAACTGCATATAAACATAAGTTAACTAAAGCAAATATATAACATTTTACCATACTTTTTTCATCTATTATCACATAACTTATATACCTAATCTTTTTTATAGGTTCTTTGATCATTTATTTTCTATATTAAAGTTAAAACTATTTATCAGAATTTCAAACGCAAGTTCTACGTAAGGTTACCACTGGGTCCAGAGTGGATTAAAGATAACCTTAACTAGGACGACAGACCCAAAATGCCAGAAGACCTTCACACTATCGAAAAAGAAGTAGGAATAACAAAGGACCAATTAAACAGAGAATCCTCTTTGTTCAAAGAAACCATAGCTAGAATTAAAGAAAAATATGCTGGTGACATTCCAAGAGAGTGGATCACTCCTCTCCTACCTGACCTCCCAGACCTACAAACGGCTATTCA